GCATGAATTTGTATATTGTGTGGCAAGCACAATGATACTCTATGCCCAGGGAAGTCGAGAAAATTTCCAACCCGAAAGATTCCCTCGACCGGACCGGGAATCGAACCCGCCGCCTCCGGCTTGGTAATACCGTGCCTTTACTGACTAGGCTATGAGGCCCCTAACAAACATTAAGCCACGCTGCGGAAATTGCGCTCAAGACCATGCCACCTCTGAATGTGCTGCGGATGAAGCTTTGGCGTCCAAATGTGCCAACTGTGGTGGTGCTCACCAAGGATCCAACAAGTAGTGCCCTAAACGCGAGGATTTCAAGCGCATCCGAAATCAAGCATCCACCAACAATCAACCAGCACGAAGGAAGGATAAGGCCCCGGCTTTCAGGACAGATGATTTTCCGCCTCTTCATGGACAAGCGAATCCAAGGGTGCGATCCGCGCACCCTCAAGAAACGTCTGGATCTTCTGCTGGACAAAGATCTCCATCCCCATGGATTCTGGAGGCAACCAACAGCTCAAACAAATAATCCCGATCTGTTCTCAGCAGATGGACTGATTGAGATTTTTATCATCATGACCGTTGCTCTATGTAAGTGCCGCAATAAGCCCAAACAGATCCAAGTGCTCGGTAAGTTCATCATCCAATATGGTGTCTAAACCGCTTACCATCGCTACCTGGAACGCTTGTTCTGTAAAAGCAAAAGAGATTGAGCTTGCCGACTTCCTCTGCAAGTACAGGATCTAACCGAAACCCATCTAAAGTCCGGCGACAGCTTCTGGTTGCCTGACCACAACATTATTCGGCTTGATCGCACCAGATCCAGGGGATGGGGGGGGGGGGGGTATGTTGCGGTTGTCGTCAAGAAAGGAATAAAATACCACACTCTGTCCCAAATCCGCACCTCCATCATCGAGGCCCTTGGTGTGGAGGTGGAGTCGTCGACTGGTTACGTCCAGCTCATCGCCGTCTACTGCCCTCGACAGTGTGCCGCCAGCAGTGGATTACCGGCTAAATTCAAGAAGGACCTGTCTACCATCTCCCGTAACGGTTCCCGCTTCGTAGTAGGAGGAGATCTAAAAGCTCGCCATGAGGCCTGGCGGAACTACCCGCAGAACCAGAACGGTCGTCTGCTGTTCGACCACTCACAGCATGAGCTGTACTCCGTTTGGTTTTCGGATGAGCCAACATTTATCTCACCGGCGGGCAACCCATCGACGCTAGACCTGTTTCTGACAAATATCGGCTTGTTCAAGCCGGTAGCCTTGAACGAACTCAGCTCCGACCACCAACCGGTGGTGGCTGAACTGGGCTGCAACGTGGCCCCTGCTTCAAGCTTGCGCAAGGACTATTATCGTGTAAACTGGGCCTAGTTCGAAAGGAAAGTTTCGGGCGTGTTTTCCAGAATCTGGACGACCGCTCCAGACCATTCTGGAAGGTAGCCAAGGTCCTCAAACTCATCCCAAACCAGTTCCACCTCTCAGAGTCGAAAATGATGACGATCGGCTTTTAATCACCCCACAGGATAAAGCAAATGCGATCGGCAAGCATGTCGCTTCATCGCATTTGCTTGGCTTGACTATCCAAAGTCCGCTCGATGATCAGGTTGCACAATGGGTTCAAAACCTAGATGCCTTCTCTTGTGCCATCCCTCCGGAGGATAGAATCGCAGTGGAACAGATTTGCTCAGCGCTGAAATGCACCAAAAATATGGAGGCCCCCGGATTTGACGGAATATTCAACCTAGTGTTGAAAAATCTCAGCATGAAGGTTCACTCTCTGCTGGGTGCTGTCTTCAACAGATGCTTGGAACTGTACTATTTTCCAATTATCTGGAAGACAGCGAAAATCATACCTATCCGCAAACCCGGGAAGGACCCAACGCTAGCTTCAAGCTATAAACCAATCAGCCTCCTTTCAGCGCTGAGCAAATTGTTCGAGAAACTTATTCTCAATCGTTTGCTCAAGTTTGTCGAGGAGCACAACATTCTCCTATCGGAAAAGTTCGGGTTCAGGAAGGGGCACTCCACAAATCATCAGCTAGTACTGCTAGTATGATGAATAACATCCGAAGTAACAAGGCTGTATCCAAGTCCATAAAAAAATAAAAAAAATAAACATTGTTTGACGTTGAGAAAGCGTTTGACAATGTCTGGCACAATGGGCTTGTATACAACTTGTAACTTCAACTTTCCTTTGCATCTTGTTAAAATCACCCGTAACTACCTTCAGCAAAGGTCGTTTAAGGTATCGTTGAATGGCTGCCTTTCAAACACGTTCTTCATCCCAGCAGGGGTTCCGCAAGGAAGGCATGTTTTGTTTAAATAATTTCCGATTTTCGATCTAGTTGAAGCCAGTCCCCTTGGACCCCATCGCGGGTTGTCTAGGTGATCATGCCGTGATCCACCTTTAGGGGTGTTTACATCTGTGCTTATTTGCGAGCCCTAGTGTACTAACATGCTGGTAGACTATGATGCCCTGCTTACATTATGCTGCCTACTTTTTACACAGTGTGTCGGGGACCGTCCCGACCGCTTGATGATGATTTCGACTGCCAGGTGAACGTACCTTTTCCTTCCTAATTTGATCTCTCCGATCCTTATCCTGCCGTCATCCAAAGACCTTTCTTCTCGCATGCAGAATAGAACACAAAACCGTCCACAAGAACACAATGCATTTACACTATTTGATTTTATTTAATTACACTACATATATTACTTATAACTAGACAAATTATTGTTCCGTACGGGGTTCGCCCCCAGTCGACCGATCGCGATGATTGCTATTTTGGACTGATTTCTAATTCTACAACCTACAATGTTTACAACTTGATCTTATATTCTATTTCCCACACTCTTCGACGAGAAACTCTCTCCTTCTCCATGGAGTTCGTACGTACTAGTGAGTGACAGCGGCGAATCGGTGCACTACCACTAGTCACCACACTCAACCGATTGGTAGCACCGTGGAGTACCTAAACTCAGTCAGTCTGGCTGACTGCATCCGTTGTGTTTCGTGTTGCTCGCAAACACAGTGCTTACACTAGCGCTAGCAAATCCGCATAGATGTAAACACCACATTAACCGCTAACTTGCCCCTGCTTGCAATGTCACGCCATTCGAAGCGGTAATGAGCAGAGGCACGACAGCAGCGCAGTTTTATATATTTTTAGGTTCAAACAGAACGATGTGCATCCAAATGATACTCGATTATGATGACTGGGTTTGGGGAAAACGTTTATTTCAGAAAACATTGAGCAAATTATCATTTGCACATTTTTCAAAAGTTTTTTTTTGGAAATTTTCAAACTAGGTATTTATTTCAGCAGATCCATAAAGTAATATCCTATCGATTGGCGTATTTGGATTTTAATTTCATCTATAAACGACAAAGTTATAATCGTTCAAAACCTAACACTATTTCACCATAGATATTTTTTGATTTGCACCCCAGTATAGCCGACAAATACGTACTTCTACGTAAAAAAAAACAATAGCGCTTCTTCTTATTAAATCCCGAGATCCGAACGTATTTATGCTACCAGTCCGTCCATAAAGTGTGACTGGAACAATTCGAAAAAGAAGTTTAGACAGATCATCTTGGTGCACGTGATGGTCTTCTGTCTGATTTCGCTTTGGAGCAGTAATAAATGTGTTAGTAAAAAAACATACATCTCACATGCCATCATGGCATAGCAGCGGCTCTCTCACCCCAGCAGGCCTGGGTTCAATCCCAGTCGGCACCGCCGGGATATTCTGAGGCATAACATCTCTGATCACGTCTTCCTGCGGAAGGGAAGTTGATGGGTCGATAGATAAGGTTCAGGTATGGAAGCTGCCTCCCTGGCGTCGGTAGCATTGGTACTCAGCAAGGAAAACAAGATCGACGGAAAACAAATCAAGGGAAAAAATCCATGACATAGCATAATTCAGCATTAATAGCATTAATGGCACCACATGAAGGTAAGGTATGGAATTAAGTCGGTCCTCTTCATATCTTTGCTCAGCTGTAAACTGTTCGGTAAACTGGAATTGATAATCTTTGCTTTAGAGGGCACGCACTCGACATGTCAGCACGATTTTCCACTGAATTAATTTATCTTTACGATAAAAGTTTCCTCGCGGAACGGTGCGAAGAGGTGGTGATTTTTATCCAAAAAGTTAAATGTTGTCGTAAAGTTTTCATTAGCATACCGAATCTAAAACGTTTTCGAAAAAAAAAAACACTTGACATCCGTGACATGAGAAAAGCTCTCGAGGAACACTCCCCGTAAAACTTTACCTACTCACCGCGCATTTCGCGACGACGACGACCACACAGACAGTGTCGACACGTTAAATGAAGTTAGGGAGGAAGGGAGGTATTATAAATATCTGCGTACCGGTACCAAATTGTACCTGTAGAAAGCTTAATTCGTCCAACCTTGTACTCGATGTAGATTTAAGGGGAACGACGTTTGCTCTATGCTCTACATATATTCACGCGGCGACGAGATTGCTTTCTTGATCCGGTATCATCCACAGCTGCTTCAGTTGCTGTTAGGGATGGAACTATGAATAGCTTTTCCGAGCATCACGTAGTCGTCGTCGACATCATTGTAGAAAAAAGCATCCAGTTAGTTGAGGTTCGTTTTCTTGACAGGTCTCTCCTTGCGGGGGTGGCGAGAAGTTGCACTTCAAATTGAAATAGTTTAGGAACAATTTTCATTAAACTATCTGCACGTACGCGGTGAATACGGGAAAGTGGTGCTGCTGAGAAGGTATCAGGTATTTGCTCGCGACGACTAGTGCCAACTAAATGGTTCAACTGGTTGAATAGATAAGACGCACCTGTCTGAAGTTTTACAGCACAAGGATTCTAGATTACATTGAAATTCCTATCCTTCCTTCAATCCTACATTGTATAAAAAATTCCCGCCAACTTAATGCATTGTTCTCATAAACCTTAACATTGTTGCCATTTCAGCTACTTCACTCACACACGTATGGAATATATATCACACTTACCCGAAATGTCGCTTTTTCTGCTGGTGGGACGCCAACTGCCGGTGACAGTGAAATGCTCGGTCACATACGTTGCAGGTCAGCGACTCATCTGTAACAAGCAAAAGGGAACCAGATGAGAAATTACTGCACTCACAAAATGTTACAATTTAAATCGCCTCCCACCTCGTACCTAATGAATTGCGTGTAAAACGTAATGGCATCCGGAAATTCGATTCACGAAAACCGAGACTGCCATTTCCCGTGAAGCCACGTGGACCCAATGGGATGGATAGTGATTTATTGTAGCCTATTTGCTCTTCGGATATAGATATATAGACTCAGCAAGGTTTCGTTTCGGATGAAATCAAATCACGTTAATTCGTATTACCGTATCGTGTCTATTGCGGAACCATATGCTCTACTGTGTGTGTGTGTGTGTATTATGGGAGTGTGTGGGACGATCAAAGCATTTGTGAAAGATGGGTTAGAGTGTATGTTTTCCTGTTTAATAATAATCCCAATAATACCAACATCATTCACCCGTGGGGTAGCTCGCTAACCTCAGCATCAGAATGTGAAGCTAATCGCTGTTTGATTTATGTGGTTGCTAAATGATTTTAATGGAACTGTGCTCGTGTGAATGATTACCACTCGATACTCGTTATTAAGTAGGTGGGGATATAGCTTATGCAGATGGGAGTGAGTAATTGAAGTTTGGAAATCGTTAGAGCTTTTGGAGGGGATATGAATTCGATATAATGTTGTGGTAGTAGATAGATGAATCCATTGAGAATGGTTTGAATTTATGAAATTAGATAATAAGGACCTTAAGATTGATTTACATGTCATTGATTAGTTTACCGGAATTTAAACAACTCTTTAGAAAGTCTTTGAGGATGTCATCAATATTTCAAAATGGTATTTTCGAATTCAACGATCAGGCCTTTTTGACATGGAAATTGACTTACTGTCGAAGGAACTCAAACTGGTCCAGTTTATAGTTGGGGGTCATACACATATTTATTATTACACCCCTTCGTCCCCCTTGTAAGACACTTCACAGTGGGCAAACATTGACTAAACCCCAACTTAATTGAATATCTCGGCTGGCAAACGGTTTCAGTCAACATTTTATACATAATGGAAAAACTCTGCTGAATCGATTGCTGGTAGTCTTATTGGCCGGAGACTTTTTCCTGTCAAGGTAGAACTAGAGTTCCCGGTAAAATTGGTAATCCCACTTTCTATGGACATAGTTTTACATCTTAAATTTATAGTACTAAGTATATATAGTGTAACGATACAATTTACGCTCTCAGAGAACCTCTACTGGTCAAACGGAGGATCTGAAACGACCGATAAAATGTCCACATTGTAAAAATTATATAGAACTTTGCAATTTTTTGTATACTGTTCAGCATCACGAGATCAAAGCGTATTTAAAATGGAATTAATATTTTGTGATAAAACGGTCCTAGCACGGTTCTCTGGATGATCCGGAAGTGTTCATGGAAGTTGTTTAGCTTCCAAATGTTTTTGGAACTTGGGTCTTATTTCGAAACATTATTTTCAAAAGTTATGTTCCTCAGGACAGAGAATCCATTTTCAGTTTGTTTGTTTCTTTGTTCACTTTCATGGCAGGATCGCGTGTTCTTTGATTTTGCCGCCTACGGATATTTTTCAGACGAATCAAGAGCTGAAGATCGTCGTCTATTATAATTCGAATTTAACTTCACATTTTGTCCGGCTATTTGGCCGAATACTTGAAAAGAGATTTTCCAATTTTGAACTCCACTAGCTTCCTAAATGAAAGCCCTAATAACGATCCATAGCTGAAATTCAATACACTATCCCTCCGATTATTCGACACTCGACAAACCGACGACTCGAAAATTTGGACCCCGTTAATCCGGAAAATGCCGGATTGAAAAATATTAACACGGATTTGAATACAATGTGCTGTTAGTTTTCAGAGCTGTCTGCTTGTTTTGATTTTTAGTATGGATAGTCGGATTAACTGACCATGATTTTGTCGGATGGTACAGTATAATAAAGTCAAATAAAAAAGTATCGATGAAATGTTCCATAAACTGTGTAACCCTATAATCTTCTTGATATGCCTGTGTTTTCCATAAATTTCTTTTAGAAGCTTCTTTTATTAGCTTATTTTTCAAACAACTTCTAACAGAAACTGTTTTTAGTTGCTTCTATTAGAAGTTCCTAGAAGACGCTAGCCCGTTGCTACGCTCCGCAAACTAAAAAAAAAAAAACACGTGCTGAATGGGAAATCTGAGTGTTACACAGTGGAACATTTGTTCAATTATTTGGGTACTAAAGACATTTTCCCATTCCTTAACGTTGCAAAACTCTTGCTTCACTGTAATTTTAAAATTCCAGATCTAAAGTTTAGTAAATTGTTGCGATCGCGGACTTTAAAGGTAAGTAAGGGCACGTTATTACCAAGCCGAATGCAGCGGATGCGATTCCCGGTCCGGTCGAGGGAATCTTTTCGGGTTGGAAGTTTTCTCGACTTCCCTGAGCATACAGTATCGTTGTGCTTGCCACACAATATACAAATTTATGCATTGGTATTAACCAGACTTGGAAAAACAACCAACGGCACTGCGAGCCGTGCAATAATGTTGCTCCCTGTTCAAAGCTAACACGCACTCGGTTTCGGTACCTCTTGTCGGCTCGCCACCGATACGAACAAGAAACCTGAACGCGGAACCGTTTTATTCGGCTTGGTGCCGTGCTATGGTTATTCGGTGCGCTCCGTGCGGCTCCGTGCCAGTGTCCGGTGCCAGACAGAATACCGTGCTTCTTCTTCTTTGTTTCCATTATCGCAGTCTACCTGTAGCTAATTTTCGTTCCTTTTCTGATTGACCTTTCCGGCGATACTGTACCTCTTTACTCCTATGGGAAAACCCCACAAACAACTGTCATTCTGTGCGTGAAGCATGGCGGGCTGTTCCGTACTCTGTCGCTCAAATGAAAAATCTCAAAGGGGCTGTTCATTAACTACGTAGACAGTTTTTTGGGATTCTTGACCCCCCTCCCCCTGCGTAGACAATTGTCCATACACAAATTTTAAAATTTGTATGGGCCGTGGATAATTACCAAACCCTCCCCCCCCCTCTAAACTGTCTACGTAGTTTATGAACAGCCTCTTATTTAGAAAACTTTCTTTAGTTTACGCAGCGCGTCACAACATGTACCAAACATAATCGTAGACGAGAATGATGAGTGGTAAAATTAGCACCAGAGCACCAAAGAAGTTCTGTATTAACAATAGAAAAGGGCCCTTCAGTATTTGTAAACAAACCGTTCTAAAGACCTTTCCTCATTAAGCGAAGGCCACCCACGCAAACCAGTGCCATATCATGTAGGGGAAACTTTCCCTTATGGTGATGGTGTTGGTTTGCGTAGGCGGCCTTTGCTGTGTTAGGAAAGGGCTTTAGAACGATTTGTTTACAAATGCTGATGGGCCCTTTTCTATGGTTGATCTAGACATTTTGCTTCACCCGGTTAGTCATAATTTTCAACATTTCGAAAATAGCCAACACATCCGTATCCGAACGGACCCTGTTCCTGTCGAGAGAAATGACGGACGCAATTAAGAACGCGTTTTAAGTTTGCTTCGCACCATGGATTCTTATGTAAAGGGAAAACCTACAGGGGTTACTCAAAATAACTAGGATAGGCAAATTTTTGGTCAACTTTCCCGAGAGCGGCCAATGTGGTAAATGATTCACTTTAAGTCTATAGAAACAATATTCATGAAAATCCATGAAGAAAGAGCTGTCGCACGACACGTTTTTGAGTTAAAACGAAATTGTCCCCTGCTACAGGTTCTCTCGGGGCATCCCAGTGGTTCTGAGAGCGGCGAATGTGGTAAATGATTCACTTTAAGTCTAAAGAAACAATATTCATGAAAATCTATGAAGAAAGAGCTGTCGCACGGCATGTTTTTGAGTCAAAACGCAATTACCCCCTACTACAGATTCCCCCGGGGTTATCCCGTGATTCCGAGAGCTGCCAATGTGGTCAATGATTCATTTGAAGTTTAATGAATGCCTATTCATGAAAAACCATGAAGAAAGAACTGTCGCACGGCATGTTTTGGTGTAAAAATGCAATTGTCCTCTGCTTTATTGTCCCCCGGGGGCATACTGGAGGTCCCAAGAGCGGCCAATGTGGTCACAAATCCATTTAAAGTCTATCAAAAGCCTATTCATGAAAAAGCTTGCAGAAAAAGCTGTCGCACGGCATGTTTTGGTGTAAAAATGCAATTGTCCCCTGCTACAGGTTCTCTCGGGGCATCCCAGTGGTTCTGAGAGCGGCGAATGTGGTAAATGATTCACTTTAAGTCTAAAGAAAGAATATTCATGAAAATCTATGAAGAAAGAGCTGTCGCACGGCATGTTTTTGAGTCAAAACGCAATTGCCCCCTACTACAGATTCCCCCGGGGGTATCCCATGATTCCGAGAGCTGCCAATGTGGTCACTAATCCATTTGAAGTTTAATGAATGCCTATTCACGAAAAACCATGAAGAAAGAACTGTCGCACGGCATGTTTTGGTGTAAAAATGCAATTGTCCTCTGCTCTAGGGTCCCCCGGGGGCATACTGGAGGTCCCAAGAGCGGCCAATGTGGTCACAAATCCATTTAAAGTCTATCAAAAGCCTATTCATGAAAAAGCTTGCAGAAAAAGCTGTCGCACGGCATGTTTTGGTGTAAAAATGCAATTGTCCCCTGCTCCAGGTTCCCCCGGGGGCATACTGGATGTTCTGAGAGTGGCCAATGTGGTCAATGATGCATTTAAAGTTTATCGAAAGTCTATTGACGAGAAACCATGAAGAAAGAGCTGTCGCACGGCATGTTTTGAGTGATTAAATGATCTGCCCGCATTCAGAACCCTTCACCAGAACCGATTCCAGGGAAATGGCCATATCTCGGTTGAATATGAGCCGATTTTAGTTCTTGGCATATGATTTGCTTCAAAAGTGGTTCTTCTTTCGTTGTATTTACTAAAAATATATATACTTAACCAGCATCATGTATAAAATTTCACCAAAAAATTAGCAAGTTAGACAAGCCCTCCGGAA